ACAGCGATTCACAACGGTGCCTACTGTGCTACTGTTCGCTTGACTCAATTATCTATCTCTATATCTATCTATGCAATTTTATCTTTTTCTCTGGCTTTAGTCATGATCCTTCGAGAAACTCCAGCGCGCATGCTCCCAGCGTTGCGCGACTTCCGCTGTTGTAACAATACTAAACTTTACACATTATATAGGCTACACTAACGTGATGTTTAGGCAGTTTATACTCATGCAAGTTTTTTGGGGGTGGTTAATGAAAGTGTTCCAAAACGCGACATTAATTTCTTGACGACATCAACACAAGTATCAAAAACCAGCTCGTATCTTAGGCCTGTCATATTACACACACACACAAAAATATTTGCACCAAAATAGGAAAAAATACACAGGTGGAGACAATAAAAAATGTTTCAAAGGTAAACTCAAGTGTTTTGGCATGAAACTTGCTTATTTTCACAAATTTTAATTATTGTACGTCAGAAAGGTGTGTATCAAACCGCCACGAGAGAGATCATTATTATTAATAAACGAAAAAGTTATTAAACAAACAAACAAATAAAACATATAAATACGCAGCTAATATGAATAGGGCTGAAAAGAGTTTTTATTATGTATTGACTATCCCCCCTACAAGAGGGTAAAAGAGTTTCTTAATTACTTTTTTTTATAAATATATTTCGACTCTTTCGCCATAATTCAATTAAAATAAACTACTTTTACATAAAAGTTCTTACAAGTTGTTTCTTTTCGGTGTAAAATTGTTATTTTTTCTGTTCTCATTCTTTTCCGTGATTATGTAACCCTAGTATATTCTATACTTACAATCAAATGTAAAATGATATTGTTTCATACTATTTAACAACATAATGTTACTTTATCTGACTGGCAAAAAGTTATGTTGAATACGCAGGAAAACAAATTGACAAACACAAATATATTATGTTTGTGTACAAATACTTCTGGGATGGCTCTAGTCTACCCAAACCTTAAAAAGTTTATCCCCTTCAGTGATTATTTCATTTAGTCACTGTAGCAATCCCTTATCCACAATCCCCTAAGACAGGGGTCACCAAACGTTTTTCACAGCGGGCCAGATAACCGAGAGAATGACGAGCGCGGGCCGCATACCATTTTGTTCAATACAATACAGTGAATACACAAAAAATAAAGACAACAAACATATTTATTTAAC